GGGTGTGATGAATGCTGTCTTCTCGCGGTCGCGGTCGTCGACCGAAATTTGCCAGTATCCGGATCGAAGGTCAAGGGACGAGAAATAGTTGGCGCCGTAGAGGCAGTCGAGCGCATCATTGATTCGAGGTAAAGGATAAACGTCCTTCTTGGTGATCCGATTCAGGTGGCGATAGTCAACGCAAAAACGCTAGGTGTTGTCCTTCTTTTTAACTAAGACCACAGGGGAGGCCCAAGGACTCGATGAAGGCTCAATGACGTCTTTACTCAGCATTTTTTCGACCTCCGTCTGCATTACTTGGCGCTCAGCATGTGACACGCGATAAGGGCGTTTGTGGAGTGGACTGGCGTCGCCGGTGTCGATGCGGTGGGTTAAGGCACTTGTGCGGCCCAGGGGACGGTCGTCGACGTCAAAGATATCCAGGTAAGAAAATAGAACACCCCAGAGCGCCGCAACTTGGGAAGGTAAGAGGTCGCTGGATATCATTTTGTCGAGGAACGCCTTATTTTGCGACGTGATGACAGGTTTCGTCATGGTCTTAGTGTCAGGTGTAAAAGAACAAATCGAACATTGATCAAGGGTGGAAAGATCGGCTAAAGTGATGCCTTGGGGAAGCACTTGGGTCGACGTAGAGAAGTTCAGAACTGGAAGTAGCACCGTGTTGTTAGCAACAACCCCTATAGTATGTGGTAGTGCGATGTGGTGCGTAAGGGTCAAATCAATGAGGGGAGCTACGAGATAGTCTCCATCAGGAACGGATGGGAAGGGCGACAGAGGAATGTACATAGCAGCCTAGGGCGGTAGCCGTAGAGACTCCCCGGATCGTAGCCGAGTGCGACTTCGAGGAGTGAAATTGGAGCACAAAGGCAATTCGAGCCGTAAGATACCGGTAGAACAATCGATGAGGGTGGAGTGGGCGGTTAAGAAGTCAATTCCAAGGATGACGTCGTGTGGGCAAGCATCGAGGACTGCGAAGAGAACGGAAGTGTGGTGACCAGCAACAGTAACACGGGCAGTGCACATACCAAGCACCGATGTTCGACTTCCGTTGGCAACTCGAACAGTATAGAGAACATAGCTGGTGTGAGAACCTTTTTCAGGCGAGATCGAAGTGTAGAACTCAGAACAGATACTTGAGCACCAGTGTCAATTAGAGCAGTAACGGCGTGGCCATCAACGAACACCCGAAGTAAATTGCGTCTTGAACTTGTAGCCGGTTGAGGGTTTTCGTTCCAAGTCGTCAACGCAGTGCCACCTCCAGGAGCTGCACTCGTCAGTTTCCCGGGGAATGGGCAGAATAAGCCGGTGACGGAGAGCGGCGGCGTTGAGGGGAGCGTGACGGCCGACCCTGAGGTGACGGCGTGCGGCTAGACCAGTTTTTCTGGGCGACGACGTCAGCGTAGGACGGTTCGGAGCGTGGAAATGAACGGCGAGCTGAAGGGTCCAGAATATAGTCATCCGGAAAACCGGGTTGCGAAGAGTGTCCGCGGTCCTGACGGCGATCTACATTACGAAAGCTTGGCCGGAAATACCACCTGTCGCGGCAATGGCGGGAAATGTGCCCAACTCGAGAGCAAGAAAAGCAGATGGGTCGATCATCGTGCGGGCGCCACTCAGATGGATTTCGGTAGCGTGGTGGAAACCGAGGAGTCGAAGCTGCCGCAGCGACAAGTGGAGCAGAGTGGTGGTCAGCGTTGTGGACGGGAGTGCTCATGGGCTGCGGCATAAGTCTGGCGGGCTGGGGAACCTGGACGCCCAGGTTAGCAAACTCCTGACGTACGACGGCTTGAATAAGCGAGACTGTTGTCCAGTTGTCTTGCGCAGGGAGCTGATAGGAAGCGGGTGCCATGGCTTCCAGCTCCTGGCGAACAATCCTTGCGATATTGGCAGGAGGCGCAAGTGAACGGGACGCTGCAGAATCCTCGCAAGACGAAGTCGCAGCAGTGTTTGGTAGTCTCGCGATGTGGTGGGTGATTCGCCTGCTTTTAGCTTGCTCAAATCGCCAGCATTCAGATATGATGGAGTCGACAGTGGTGCAGTTCTTGCACATTAGTATGTTGAAAGCATCATCAGCAGTGCCTTTCAACACGTTGCTGATCTTGTCCGCCTCGGACATGTTTTTTGTCAGTCTTCCGGCACAGTGCCAGTACGTCTTGGATGTATGTGACGTACGACTCCGTCGATGATTGAACACGCGACGCGAGTTCCTGCCTGGCTGCCATCTGACGAGCAACTGACCGACCGAACAAATCGCGAAGCTTTTGCTTGCATGTGTCCCAGCTGGTTAATTCTTCTTCATGCGTCTCATACCAGGCGCGTGCCGTACCCCGTAGGTATATGAACAGAATATTTTCCAGCATAAGCGTTTCGTCCCACCTGTAGTGCTTGCTGACGCGCTCGAATAATGCGAGCCATTCTTCGACGTCCGTGCTGTCCGTCCCGGAAAACGTGCCAGGGTCGAGAAGATGGGGGGGGGGGGGATCACAGGTGATGGAGCCGGCGTGGATGGCGAGGCCTGAGTGCCAGTTTCAGGCATCGCGGCTGGACAAAGCTGGCGTCCACTGCGGAGTTCCAGAGCCGGGTTGTGTGAAGACCCAGCACCTTCCACCAAAAGATGTTACGGGGAAGATTTATTCACCGAGAGCTGGTCTTGCTAACGGCTTAGAGAGTGCACAGTCAAGCAGGCCAACGGGAGAAGCTCGAGAGTCCAACCCACTACCACCACGTTGTCGTCTTCTTCATATGGGTGCCAATTCAGCTGTGTCGGGGCGACAGTTCCATACACGTATCAATATGTCGATACTGATTTCCACAACGATTTTACAATTTCAACGCATAGTCTCAAGTATAGTTTTCGTTTTATGTTGATGTATCAGTGACCGCACGGTGTGTCTCAAAGAAGAAAATACTTTTGTCGATCGTTCCCGTCTCAGAAGCTTACTTTTAACAAAGCGCGATTATTTGCAATAGGCGAGAAAATAGTCCGATTACTATTCAACGTAAAAACACTTCATTCCACGTGAAGCCACGGGCCGCTATATTGAAAGGTCGGAGGGCCGCATGCGACCCGCAGGCCACATGTATTGAAACCCCTGATTGGTCACGAGGCCGGATTGTTGGTGTTCATCCCTGAGGGACATTTTAGCCATAGTAAGAAAAGCAGCCCCATATATTCACTTATTGTGACGGGGGGGGGGGGGGGGGGTTGCTGCACGGTTCTCCTTTCGCCCCCCTCTTCTGAAGGGCCTGCCTATAGGCACCCGGCAATGCAGTTTACGAGATCTGATGGTAGCGCCGGAACACACAGCCTAGCGAATGGGCGCAGCAGAACCGAGTCTTCCAATGCGTAGCCTAGCGAGTAGACGCAGCAGAACCGTACTTGCATATCATCATTTTCTTTTTTTAGTTGTGAGCAAGGGGGGTCACGGCTGATTATGTAAGCGCCCAGGAAGCGTTCTTTGAAAACGTGCCAAAAAAGGGCACTGACACTTCAGCGTGTCACTGTGTTCAGCGAGCGTTCCATTTTCTTTAGTATCCCTGGTGGTGGGTACCAACAATGCTGTGGCGGCCCAAAGAGCTTCGTCGCGCCCTGAGGTCCCCTGTCGGGTGCCTATGTGCCCACGGCCAACGGGGTATCTGCCACACAATGGGGTATCTGCCACAGCGTCATTCTGCCACACAGAAATGATCGTCACCTGAAATGTTTGTCATTGCTCCCTCGCAAACTGTGCGCGGGCCACTTTATTCCTACAAAAATGCTATGTCACGCTGATAACCACCCGCCGTTTGTGACTGGATGTGCTCGGCGCGCAGAGAGATAGGTGACGATTGAAGTTGCGTGCCATAAAGGCTGTCCAAATATGATCTTTTTTCATTCAGACTTCAGCTATACAACTATCAGAACATTCCCTGTGATCAAATTAACGTCCTGCGGATGTCCTGAGAACATCCCTAACAAGCTTTTTTTTTTTTTAAACGAGGGACAGGCGCATTCGTCCCATAGTGAATCCACATGGCAACTGCTGATAGCAGCGCGATCTCTGCGTGATGATCTCTAAACACAACGATTGGTGTGGAGTGCCGCCCTCCAGTATCGTGACACTTGTGAAAGGGGCAGCGTTGTGCGTGTGGTATGTGTCTTCTTCTCTGTTCCGCCCTGCATTCGCTATACATCGGATGGCGGAACATTGAAGTGCCGTTCTACGGCCGTGAAATTGTTTTTCAGTGAACGCGATTTGCCAGAACACAAATACGGTTTCGCTCAGGTAAAGATTATAGTTTCTCATGAATTGGTATTCGTTAATGCGCGTTTACACTAACACGTTTATCAGGTTCATGGTAATCGGGGGAATCGATCTTTGCAAAACTAGCAGCAGTTTTGGTGCGTTAAGAAACGTTACGTGCGGAACTGCGTGGCAGGATAAGAGCTCACGGCACCGAAACCAGCTGCTGAAGTGCGCGCGTGGCTGTGCACACCGACGTGACGTTACTACTAAAGAGAAGAGCAATTTTTCGCGTATTAGTAAAGTACAATATCACAGCCCCGAAAACGCCGCTCTTTAACGCGACACGACGCTTCGAGAAAACGAGCGAAAATAAAATGCGGCTGGAGAAGCCACGTTGCGATCCCCGGACCAAACACCAAGACGTCGTATACTTTGAAGACATCTGCCATACCCTACGTAGCTTCTAATCGATAAAAATAAACAGAATTGTCATCTGTGTGCGTCATAGATCTAGCACATACGAAGCTTCAGAAGGTTTCATCGATCCAGTGTCACGAAAATACCAAAAACACATTTTGAAATTTCTTACGCCACGCACAGAAATTGCGGCGCGAAATTGAAAAAATGAAACTTCTGCCTTCATTTTCTTTGCTAATAATTAACCTATGGTAGTAAACCGTGAAATTATAGTTATTCGAGTGCAGTTCGTCAATCTAAAACAAGTCATCGTTTCTCTTTCGTGTCCCTTTAATTATCTTTCTTTCCCAGGAAAGCTACGCGGCTGATCGCATGGCGAATGTGCTGACATGTAACCTGGCCAAATGCCGGAAGAAACTGACCACCATTGCTTGGGTTTGTATTGCATTCCTTCTGTCGGAGCTATATGCTCCCGTTTCTGATTTATTTACGTGTAACGCTAAAAGTACAAGGAGGAACAGGTATCATTCAAGTAAATGCCCTGCAGTGGGCGTAGTCAGGCTGATGATGATAATGATCACGCACTGTTATAAAAATAACCGAAAATGGGGGATGGTGGTAGTGTATGGTATGCCACGCTAATTAAATACAATAAAAGCTCATCGATTCGGATATCATGGGACAGGAGAAAATGACTGGTGACACCAAATTTCGAGGCTATCCCAAGCCTGTTGTGGGTTTCCTCTGTATGAAAGGACTCTCCACACGAAGAGTCGGGCACATCAAACGCGTACAATATATTTTAATTCACTTCCAAAAAGTGTAGCAGAATGCTCACTCTCGTGATCTAGTCCCATCGCTTGCGCAGCAACACTGACGTTTCAGAATAGGAGAAGCAACGGCAGTTGTCGGGGCGTGAGTGACCCTCCGCCATCTCCGAAACGAATTTTGTGAACAAGGAGAGAAGAACTAGCATGCCTGCTGTTACGAGTGTGCTGGCGTCCATGCAGAGACGCTGTGTGCGTCTGTCAAGGACTCTGAGTGCTTTCGAAAAGACACTCGACGCGTCGCTCAGAGACGCTTCGCTCGTCCATCAGCGGGGCTGTCTCATCCTCCATCGGCACCTCGGCGCCTATAAAAGGCCGACGCGTAGGGCGGCTTCCTCGTCCACGTTTTGCAACGTTGTACCAACGCCTCCTCTAGAAAGATGCCTGCCGCACGAGAAGAAAAACAGCAGCCACACCATTTTCCTCCTTCATTTTAAAATGTTCTCGGTGGCTAGCGTCACCTGTGGCGGACGGTGCAAGAACGCAACACTTTGCATAGCCTCCGAAACAGTGGTGCACAGTTGCAGGTCTCGAACAACTCTCGACTGACGCGCCCCTATGGGCCGCAGATAAAAAAACGCTTAGCTGGTTCCGACCGCCGCCGTGATGATAGTGTCGGTCGCGAGCGTCACCGTGCGGAGCTTGTTTAAAACTGAAGACAGGCCAACTCCGCTGGGAGCGCGAGCCATTCCTCAGGCACCTTTCTAGAGGAGGCGTTGGTTGTACATACGTTGTAAATATAAACGCTTTGTTTCCTTCTTGCTGCCTTTTGCCTTGCCACTGCCTCGATGTTACTGCAGCTGGCCCATGGCGACTGTCAGCGCGTTTGCTTTGCTGGCGCTCGGTGTGGCACGTGTGTATGAGAGCAGACGAAACTCGACACGATGTGCGTCACAGCCTTGTGTGCTCACGTGACCAAGCCACCTATGCATCGACGTCACTGCCCGATTCGGCACCGCGAAACCGAAAATGGTCCACATAAGCAGAGCAATAATAAGTTATTTAGCGAAAATACACTAATCTTGGTGTGTGTATCATGCTTCCTGGAGCTGAAGGAAACGCTTATACAGCAAAGAACACGCATGCCACAAATTTGGTGGCACCACCTTTTTAATTGACCGAATGCTGCATCGTTTAAAGTTTTAAGAAAACAATATGCAGCTGTCCGTTACATCAGGGCATTTTAATTCCGAGTCTCGAATAACGTACTTAGCTGTGTACATGGCACACTTTGTCATTCGCGATTTCGTTCACATTGTGACCGTGACTCAAGACCCCGTGTCATGAGCCAAAACCTGCTCTGTTCTTACTGTATTACTTCATGGGGTAACACATACACCACTCATCTTACTTTAGTTCAGACAAGTCAAAACCAAGTGATAAGAATTGTCACGTCAAGCCCATATCTCTCTAACGCTAAGTCACTACTTCACGAAAACAATATATTAACTGTATCTGAGCTAGTTAAATATAACCTTGGTATTTACATGTATAGAACTATAAATAACCAACTTCCACACTTTACTACCATTCTCTCAAATAACAATGTCACAAGGTTTGCCCGTAACAATAACTTTCTACTGCCAAAAGTTCGCACCATTTATGACAAACAAACCATTCATTTTTCCGGAATACTTTTTTGGAATAGTTTACCTTCCGACATTAAAGTATGCCGTTCCCTGAAGGTAATTAATTCGAAGTTAAAAAATCATATCATGTCAACTATAACTAGCCTGTTTTGCTGTTTCTTAATTGATTCCTGTTCATTGTGAGTTGCGTTCTGTAATCACTTGTCATTGAAGTTAGCGCGTTATTCTTGCTTTAAATTGTTTCTGTGAGATTACAAGGGTATATTCTTACTTTATTTGTTTCAATTGCATTTTACTGTAGCTCTGTCTCCCTGCTATGTACATCACAATCATTCTCAATTCTACATTGTACAAGAGGTCCCCTTGCAGTCTCTGACTATGGGACCTCTTTCTGTATATCATGCACATGTATTCTTCATTTAGCACAATAAAACCTTCCGTTCTGTTCTGAAGAATGTGGGGTCATAATCCGGCCGCGGTGACCGCATATTAGATAGAGGCGAAAATACTTTAGGCCCATGCGCATGTGTACGTTAAACAATCCCCGGTAGTCGAAATTACCGGTGACTACGGCGTCTCTAATAATCACATTGTGGTTCTGAGATGTTAAACCCGAAAATGATTATCTTTTTTACATCCCGGTTATTGAGTACCGCCACCATCAACACTAGCACGTGAACGGGACGATATTTATTTATTTTTTCGCTGGAAAAACAGCGCAGCGAGTCGTTCGTCCAAATGAGTCAGGCAAGCGAGTTTTGTGCCAGCGTGCAGACCGCGACTGACGCTCTTCATCTTCCACAGCTCCCACCCCATGTTTGAGTTTTGTGAAATTACGCGCTCATCGGCCGAAGTCGTAACGAAGATCTTGAGTGCGTGCCGCGTCTGCTGTGGACGAAGCCGCGCACCTCAGAAGACGCAGCGCAATTCTCCGAAGGCGCGAGTCGGAATGAAAACTTCTGAGTATACCGTATCTGCCGCTGAATAAGCCTGCCTGGCTATTGCGCAATTACAGATGACTCAGTTCCGAAGGCGCGCGTTGAATACGAAACGGGCTTGTCGCGCTCCAGAGCGATATCGACACGACCACACAATGACCATGCCGTTCGCCTGCACCCGGTGAAATCGAAATCGAAACAAGTTTGGCGCAGCCGCTGAAATCTTGGTCGCTAACAACGCTATACATTGTGGTAAAATTGTGGATGGCGATCGCGCCTTTACGAAGGCCCACGGCCGTACGTGTCGCCTGTTCGTGGACGCTGGTTTCGACCCTTATAGTCGCGCGTTTGCGGCGCTTCGTGCTCGGCGAGCTCCTGAAATCGTCCGAATTGTACCGAGTTGCGCTCAAACAGGTCCGAATCAACGAGAGCTGTATGTTATGGAGCAATATACGTATGCCTGCTGGGACCAGAGAACGCGTCGAAATGATTCGATTTCCCACTGAATCATCGGTGGGTCGAAATTACGAGCTTTTATTGTACAGCCTTATACAAGACAAAAAAAAAATATTGAGGAAGCGTTCAAAAGTGTGATGGGGCCACTAGTAATATGATCACTAATCTTTTCCAGTATGAAGTTTCAAATACACGTCGTAATTATAAGTGCGAAATTAAATGGGTTATTAATAGAGTATTCGTGAGAAGCCAACGATGTGCTGAGGAGCGCTATACGGTGATCTCAAAGCGGTGTTTAATGTAAGAGAGCAATAAATTGCACCGGCTTTTTTTTTGTTTATAGGAATATAGGAGCACCTAAATTAAGTATAACGTGTGCCACAACTTGAAGGTTCTTGGCACTTATTCGTATCGATGCCCATAAACATTTTACCCCGTTTACCCTGTTTTCACGCGTTATGCCAGATTTCTATCGGCTTTGTCCTGACTGAACTAAATGAGGCAGCGTGTTTACATGTTGTGCAAATAAATTGTATTCGTTGTGACTGCATGATGTGTAGGAAAATATTGTAGCGTGCCTGTCTTGAATTCTTTAGCGCTGCCTACTCTGTATTTACATATTTTGCTTTGCATACGTTTCTTTATGTTAAAAAATAATGATCTAGATTACGATGAGACCACAATGCCATATTCGTCGTCATACAAACGTAATCTTATTTTTCTCGTTTCTTTTCAGGTCACCTCCTGCTCTCGTATCCTTTATGTGTGTGTGTGGGGGGGGGGGGGGGGGCGCCTTTAGAAAGCGATAATTCGCGTACGACGAGCTAAATGTGCGTGTGGCAGGTGTAGTAAGAGACGTTGGCGCAACCAGTACGGGAGTTCATTTTTGTCTTTTGACGCATTTATTAACGCACACCAAAAATACACAGAAGGTGGTTGAACCCTTTCCCCCAATAAATGTCCGGCGTCGCCTACGTATAGAGAAGAAAGTCGAGTGCCGCTCACTGGTCGGACAATTTCAAGCAAGTGTGCATTTCATGCATGTGCCTGTAAGTTAAACGTCTCTTTCAAATTGAAATAGGGGACAGAAAATAGCTTACCATAGAAGCCCTTAGCACACATACAGCCGCGGAGTCAAGATACATTGCTACCGAAATAGTTAGGTCGGGAAATGGCGAGACCCGTTTCTCACAAATTTAATCCTGCACACTGACAGACAGTGCTTTATTAATGCTCTTAGAAACACTATATACTGGGCCACTCCCACGTCGGGACGGGTATAGGCCGAGCCTCATCGCCGCGTCACGGGCTTTGAATGACCCTGAATTGATGCAAATGCTTTGATCTCCTGAGCGTGGAGCGCCAGTCCTCTTCGGACGTCCCCTTTCGTCCAGCTGGTAATGTTTCGTCACCTCGTTTAAAATTACGGGAACGTCCCCAAAAACCGCTTGGTTGGAGTCTGCAGATCCGCCAGGCTCTCCATCACGGTCAGTAAGTATACGCGCACTCGGGCGTGGGGATATCGTTTAGGAATAGGTCATGGAGGCCAAAGGTGATTCGAAGTGAGCCAGAAACGAAATGATGGTGTAAAAGGGTGCGTAGTTGGGCGTGTTGGTAATTCAAAACCAATTCATAACTAACTCCTTCTCTTATCCCGTGTCTCAGTTTTTTTACGTGCTACGATATCATTAGAAATGATGGTGTTAAGAGAAGAATCCCTATGACCTATGAGGTGCTTCTTACTTAGGCCAACACCGATCCGGACGCAAAGGCTCGGAACACCACTCGTCAGTCTATGTATAGATGTGTTGCCGGTAATATCGTCAAGTAGAGCGAGAGCTGTGACTTCTTGAGCTGTAGCGGGAGTGGCGTTCCTAATAGACGCACAGGGGATAGCACAACTTTCGTGATCGATTGCGACAACCGCTAATCGACCGTATACTGCGCCGCGTCTACAAAGCATGCAGACTCCGGGTCTGCTCGAACATCTCCGAGCAGGGCCCCTGCCTCTCTGTGTTGGGCGTCGGTAGCACAAAAAATTTCCCGATCATTCAACACCATCAACATTCGACCAAAAAGGGGAAAGGAAGAGATGCAGAGATTACGCCGTAAAAAAAAATTGAATTATTGCAAAATACGAGAAATATGCGTAGGAATGGCCTAAACTACGTGTCGTTGCTGTGATAGCCATCACCAGCAAACAGATCAAACAGTATGCGAATAAATGCGGCAGCCAACAGTGATAGTGTTACGCTAGTTAGTATACGGCAGGTCAAACACAAGTATTCGGCCGACTTCACCCGAATCGGTAGATTTTTTGTTTTCAGTTTACGAATCGCAGTCCTCACGCATTAACAGTCTTTGTAGTCACCAGTCGGGTCAAAAGTTGTCAGTGCCTCCTTAGCAGCTGATGACGCATGCAGATGTGTTTTGTGAGGAAGACGCTACGCGGGAGCTGGCCGATCGCCCCGTATGCCCGGCGTGTAAGTATTTCCAGTGAATACTGAGCTTAAGAGTACGATAATTGCCTTTGAACAGTGAGTTTTATACACTCGAAGAAGCTACGAGAACGTTCCTTTCATAATCTTTTCGCCTTTTATTGTGTTGTATGACATGTTTCTGGAACACTTAGTTGGTGCCATATTATGTGTCAGTCTTGCTTCATATAGAGTGTGCCTCGGTGTAAGTATTGTATCACGAGAGTACTGCAAAACATATTTTATCGACACCTACGTGTCACACTCGCTATTGCATGCAGTCACATGCGATTCCGAAAGGGAAGTCCGATTGCCTGAATTCTATGTGTCGTGCTATTGTGCCGCAATGTCTTTCCTCGTGAAGTTGAGGGTCCGACAGAACGCCGTCATGGTACGGGGCTGGCATAACAAATACAGTACGCATAGCACCAACCGAAGCAACATGTGAAGTATACAGATGTAAATCGTTCACTGTTCAAATTTACTAGTGAATATTCTGGCCTTTTTGCTATCTTAGCTGCGAGACGTTCGTTGCTACACATAATAGAATAAGAGTATATTGATGTAATGGAAACTGAAGGTTAGTAAAATTTTGACAGGGTTGAAACCAGTGGACAATAATCGTTGGGTTTCATCCTTTATTGATCTGAAGTAGATAACTACAACAGATGCATCAACCAGATATTGTGTCGTGATACCGATTAAGGCGCATGACTTTCATGTTCGTTATTAATGCCTCCCCCATTCGACCGACTTCGCATCTTCGGCAGGCGGTGTTCAACTGCCAGGAAAGTTCGACCTGGTGCGCGTTGAAGTCGACCCTCCAGAGCACTTTCGAACGGTGAGTGTTGTTATACTTCGCTGTGTAAGAAAAGCGCGATTTTTTTTTTTCGCAAACGGGGCTTGTGCAGCGAGTGAAGTGACCTTTGTGGGCCCGGCAACTAACGCAATCGTTCCGGTGAAAGCCGAAGGCACACGATTCTCCCCACCGAAGCATAAGCGCACGCGCACACAGGCATTTTACTCCCCTCCCCCTCAATTTGTGGGGCAAAGTACGCGTGAGAGATAAGCACGTGTCGGCGCGTCGGTGAGTTGGGCCCCGAGTGCGGGTGGCGTTTTTTTTTTCCTTTCTTGAGTTTTAATATTTGTAGATGCGTATACATATACGGTGAATGACGGCGACGGCAAAAAAAAAAAAACCAGCCGAGACTGTCCATATAATTGCTGTCGCAATGAAAGGTATAGCGCGGCAATCACACTGACGTCGCTGAATGTTGACTGAGTGGTGGCGCTGACGTGTTCGCACGCAGTGTTTCTCTGATGACCACCGCAAATGTTCCACATGTGTTTTCACATGTGGAACATTTGCGCGCCCTTGTAGCCATATTTATCAACGCTGCTATCACGCGCTCCGCACTGTCTTCATGCCGCGAGCTCGCAGCATATACTCGTTTGCCCGAGAAGCTCGGATCATCCTGCGTAGCACCCCCGGCCATTGCTCCCCGTGGCATTATGAGTGAAAGGTTCCTCGTTAATGCCTAAAATACTATGTTTGTCTTAACAGTGGCGTGAGAATATGAGAATATGAAACAATATTAAAGAGAACTGCAATTACACCAAAAGAAGCGTAATGAGAGAAACAGACAATGGTACCTTCTCTTGGCATCATTGTCTTTTAGTTCTCGTTAATATCGTGTCTAACGAAAAAAAACACTAGCCCTTACTCATTTACACTTTTATCTGAAACAAGAAACACAAGCGCGCATCGCAGCGGCAAAGTCGTCAATTTGAAACACCACTTTTTGAAACACATCTGCAGAGTGATGGTGCGTTAGTGGACCGGTGGCGAGTAAAGCAGTAAAAAGTAATGATTTTCTTCTGGGAAACATCGGCGCACAAACTTCGCCCCTTCACAGGTTTTCACGTCAGCGAAGCTGAAACACCCGTATATATATATATATATATAAGGGAAAGAAGTTTATATCTAAGGGCTCGTTTTTCCGTGTTTTTAACACAATAATAATGAGATATAACAGACAGTAATGCCAAGGAATGTACAGGGGTAGTTATTAACATTAATGGAATGTAAATAAGAAGAAAGAAAAGTGGATGAAAAAATTACCAACTGTAAGCAGGAAACGAACCTACGACCTTCGAATTGGTAATTTTTTCATCCACTTTTCTTTCTTCTTATTTACATTCCATTAATGTTAATAACTTCCCCTGTACATTCCTTGGCATTACTGTCTGTTATATCTCATATATATATATATATATATATATATATATATATATATATATATATATATATATATATATATATATATATATATATATATACATATATTCATTGCGCAGTGAGTCCTCCTGTTTTTTTTTTTCATTGCAAGGTCGTGTGCTCTCGTGTGTTTGTTTTGTTTGTTTATTTACTTGCTTGTTTATTCGTTTGATTGCGCCTGATAGCGTGCTGTCGGGTCGAATCACGGTGCATTCGTTTCTCGTTCGCCCGAAGATGGTGCTGGCCGGCTACAGCCCGGAGATCATCATGGAGGCGTGCACGCGTGCCCTGGCTTTCTGGTCGTTCCAAATGGCTCACCAGAGTTCTTGCCTGGAGACCTCTGTAGAACGCAGCCGCCAGAGGGCAGCACAGCTGGAACAGGCTGTCGAGAGGACCACCAGGGAGTGCAGAGGTGCGTCCGTTTGGCAAGTACAGTACCGCGATCAATTATTGTCGTCTATAATAGGGCGGGGACCTGACGAAAAATCATGAGGCGTAACATGCGCTTATACGTAACTCCGACTAACTTTCCTTTTCTTCCGATTTCGGAGCTTTTTTTTTTGACGGGAGCAGAAATGTGACTGATATCAATGCATGACGAATGTCTATGCACACGTCCCATTTCTGCTCTGCGTATGCAACTTAACCAACTCGCTCACTTACTGCAGTGAAATCATCATTTGTCGAAGAACGTGGCTACCAGACGAGAGTGGAACAAAAGACAGTAATGTGTAGCGGTTGATAACAATAACGGGGTTCTGCGGCCGCTAGTACTATAGGGCTGTATAAACACGTTCGAACGAATGTCGTATTGAGAACGTGCTGATTGGATAGTGCCGTATATATTGCTAGGCCAATAATCGTGAAAAATGAAACGGTGTACCTTATCCCACGAACTGGACCGTAACATCGCCTCTAATTCTCGCATCATGGAGAACACATCGTTTTCTTTTTCTTTATTTATTTAGAGAGAGTTGATGAAGTGAGCTGGACTGCCGTAGTGGAGAAAATGGAAGGCGATGAGGGCAAATAAATGAAACTGTCCATACTCCGTCACCAGTAGCTGCGTTATATGCCTCACGAACGCTAATTTGATCTTTTGAGACGCTATTAACAAGAATCCATAAACGATATTGTCTTGAGAACCTTCAACATTGATGTAATAATAACGGCTGGTGTTTCACGTGCCGAACCCACGATCATAATTACGAAGTCCGTCATAGCGGAGAGCTTCGGGCATTTTGACTCTCCGGAGTTCTTTAAAACGTGCACCCTAAACCAAGTACGTGGGTCTGCAGCACTTTCGCCCCCGAACGAACTGCCGCTGCAGGAATCTAACCCGCGACCTTTCGGTTCGGGAACGACATCGCCGACTGTACACCACCGCGGCAGCAAATGCTGTTGAATTCTCGCAAAAAGTACGGTCGGCTGAAGCCGCAGCGCTATGCGCCTGCGCGAAATAATCACGTTAAAACTGCTAAGGGTAGAAAGGGACACAGGAAAATGGTTGCAGTAGTACAGGAAAGGCACTATTGTGGAAACGGATGGCTTCGAGAATTCTTGTGGAATGGCCGTTTTTTTTTCTTTTTGTTTTTTTTTTCGCACGCTCTTCAGCCAATATATTCTTGGCTTGAGCGGTAGCTTCCCCTTCCTTTGCGTGATTTATTATGGTTGTTGCGGGTAAAAAAAATAGAAACGAGCATGCCAGCAGCCTGATCGTTAGAGAATGCTTGACCTGTACCATTTCTGACCGGGGGCTGTATACTGGCGGCCGCGTCTCATACTGCACACAATGCAAAAGTATCGCGACACTTAGATCGAACGCATCGTGTAATGAGGCCTTGAGGAAGTGTTGGCAGCGCTGTGGCCGTCGCTCAGGTGGTCGTCGGCTATACCTCTTGGCAGTGATATCGAGCATGTATACGTTCTAGCCGTTTACTCCTCTCTGTGTGTGAGCGTATCCGTTTACAACCTGCGCAACCAAGCATATCCGACTTTCATAAAATGATGATAATCTTCATACACCAAAGAAAAGGGCCCACAATAGTGTATCTGTTCATTGAACAGTTCGAGATGTTTGTACAGACTTTCCGCCTATTTAGACGTTTTGTTTGCCATTCCACTTTAGTGTACGAGCAATAATATATATTTATATTTAATGATTTTTTTCCTTTATTTACATTCAACGAACCCAATTGCGTTTTCTCCTCCAGCCCTGAAGGAACACTTGCAGGGTAAGTGAGGCGGCGGTATATTTGCACGGTCCATACTGCGCGACCAAAGCTATATACACCGCGTGCTGCCCTCTTCGTGCCGGTGGTTTACAGTTGCCGAGCGCGAGAATGCCAAGCTGCGTCAGTGCAACGAAGAGCTGCGCGACCAGCTGGAACGACGCTGTGGAGCGGCGAGCGGCGCGCCGGCACGAGGACGTCCGAGCTCTGCCGCCACGAGTCCCGCAAGTCAGCCACCCGATTCGTCGAACCCTGTCTTCGTGACCGACGATCAAGGTTCGTGCAGAGTCGTGCTAATTCCGTCTGTAGAATAAGTTGAATATCGGGACTTCACTTGTTGGCATGGAACTCACTCACTCACCCGATCAATCAATAAATCAATCAATCACCAGTAAGCATGATATATGTACTTCAAGTTAAAGATTAGAGGCTATAGCGCTTTCTTGTGTCGAGAAGAGAAAGCTTTGTTACGAGAGGAGGAGAAATGACACATGGATCGAAGGTATCAACAGCACGCTTAAAATTAGAAATGATACGCCTGTGCTCTACGTAGCCACGTTTAATAAACCCTAGCGAATCTACTTGGATCTGTTTTATACCATGTCAAGCAACTTATTCTTAAAAGTTGTGAACAAAGTGTACAGTATTATGATACGCACGCGCTGGTATTCTGTTGTCTTGTCACTTTGTTGATTCTGTAGGCGGAGAGTTTTCATAGTCACGGAGGGGGCGGGTCTTGCTCTTCCACAGTTCTCTCACTCCCTCTCTCTCCACCTCTCTCTTCACATATATATATATTGTGAGGAACCGGTTTATTCAGCCAGGCTGGAGCTAAATCACGCTGGTGATGATATTTTCAGATGAAGAATATGTGCAGGTGATAATGATATTGATACGTGTATGGAACTGTCGCCCCGACGCAGCCGAATCGGCACCCAAATGAAGAAGACGACAACGTGGTTGTAGTGGGCTGGACTCTCGAGTTTCTCCCGTTGGCCTGCTTGACTGTGCGCTCTCTAAGCCGTTAGCAAGACCAGCTCTCGGTGAATAAATCTTCCCCGTAACATCTGTTGGTGGAAGGTGCTGGGTCTTCACACAACCCGGCTCTGGAACTCCGCAGTGGACGCCAGCTTTGTCCAGCCGCGATGCCTGAAACTGGCACTCAGGCCTCGCCATCCGCGCCGGCTCTATCACCTGTGATTCCCCCCCATCTTCTCGACCCTGGCACGTTTTCCGGGACTGACAGCACGGACGTCGAAGAATGGCTCGCATTATTCGAGCGCGTCAGCAAGCACTACAGGTGGGACGAAACGCTTATGCTGGCAAATATTCTGTTCTACCTACGGGGTACGGCACGCGCCTGGTATGAGACGCATGAAGAAGAATTAACCAGCTGGGACACATGCAAGCAAAAGCTTCGCGATTTGTTCGGTCGGTCAGTTGCTCGTCAGATGGCAGCCAGGCAGGAACTCGCGTCGCGTGTTCAATCATCGACGGAGTGTTACGTCACATACATCCAAGACGTACTGGCACTGTGCCGGAAGACTGACAAAAACATGTCCGAGGCGGACAAGATCAGCAACGTGTTGAAAGGCATTGCTGATGATGCTTTCAACATACTAACGTGCAAGAACTGCACCACTGTCGACTCCATCATATCTGAATGCCGGCGATTTGAGCAAGCTAAAAGCAGGCGAATCACCCACCACATCGCGAGACTACCAAACACTGCTGCGACTTCGTCTTGCGAGGATTCTGCAGCGCCCCGTTTACTTGGGCCTCCTGCCAATATCGCAAGGATTGTTCGCCAGGAGCTGGAAGCCATGGCACCCGCTTCCTATCAGCCCTTTGCGCAAGACAACTGGACAACAGTCTCGCTTATTCAAGCCGTCGTACGTCAGGAGTTTGCTAACCTGAGCGTCCAGGTTCCCCAGCCCGCCAGACTTATGCCGCAGCCCATGAGCACTCCCGTCCACAACGCTGACCACCACTCTGCTCCACTTGTCGCTGCGGCAGCTTCGACTCCTCGGTTTCCACCACGCTATACCGAAATCCATCTGAGTGGCGCACGCACAATGATCGACCCATCTGCTTTTCTTGCTCTCGAGTTGGGCACATGTCCCGCCATTGCCGCAACGGTGGTATTTCCGGCCAAGCTTTCGTAATGTAGATCGCCGTCAGGACCGCGGAAACTATTCGCAACCCGGTTTTCCGGATGACCATATTCTGGACCCTTCAGCTCGCCGTTCATTTCCACGCTCCGAACCGTCCTACGCTGACGTCGTCGCCCAGAGAAACTGGTCTAGCCGCTCGCCGTCACCTCAGGGTCGGTCATCACGCTCCCCTCAACGCCGCCGCTCTCCGTCACCGGCTTATTCTGCCCATTCCCCGGGAAACTGACGAGTGCAGCTCCTGGAGGTGGCGCTGCGTTGACGACTCGGAACGAAAACCCTCAACCGGCTACAAATTCAAGACGCAATTTACTTCGGGTGTTCGTTGATGGCCACGCCGTTACTGCTCTAATTGACACTGGTGCCCAAGTATCTGTTATGAGTTCTACACTTCGATCTCGCCTGAAAAAGGTTCTCACACCAGCTATGTTCTCTACTGTTTGAGTTGCCAACGGAAGTCGAACATCGGTGCCTGGTATGTGCACTGCCCGCGTTACTGTTGCTGGCCACCACACTTCCGCTCTCTTCGCAGTCCTCGATGCTTGCCCACACGACGTCATCCTTGGAATTGACTTCTTAACCGCCCACTCCGCCCTAATCGATTGTTCTATCGGTATCTTACGGCTCGAATTGCCTTTGTGCTCCGATTTCACTCCTCCAAGTCGCACTCGGCTACGATCCGTGGAGTCTCTACGGCTACCGCCCCAGGCTGCTATGTACATTCCTCTGTCGCCCTTCCCGTCCGTTCCTGATGGAGACTATCTGGTAGCTCCCCTCATTGATTTGACCCTTACGCACCACATCGCACTACCACATACTATAGTGGTTGTTGCTAACAACACGGGGCTACTTCCAGTTCTGAACTTCTCTACGTCGACCCAAGTGCTTCCCCAAGGCATCACTTTAGCCGATCTTTCCACCCTTGATCAATGTTCGATTTTTTCTTTTACACCTGACACTAAGACCATGACGAAACCTGTCATCACGTCGCAAAATAAGGCGTTCCTCGACAAAATGATATCGAGCGACCTCTTACCTTCCCAAGTTGTGGCGCTCCGGGGTGTTCTATTTTCTTACCTGGATATCTTTGACGTCGACGACCGTCCCCTGGGCCGCACAAGTGCCGTAACCCACCGCATCGACACCGGCGACGCCATCCACTCCACAAACGCCCTTATCGCGTGTCACATGCTGAGCGCCAAGTAATACAGACGGAGGTCGAGAAAATGCTGAGTAAAGACGTCATTGGGCTTTCATCGAGTCCTTGGGCCTCCCCTGTGGTCTTAGTTAAAAAGAAGGACAACACCTGGCGTTTTTGCGTCGACTATCGCCACCTGAATCGGATCACCAAGAAGGACGTTTATCCTTTACCTCGAATCGATGATGCGCTCGACTGCCTCCACGGCGCCAACTATTTCTCGACCCTTGACCTTCGATCCGGATACTGGCAAATTTCGGTCGACGACCGCGACCGCGAGAAGACAGCATTCATCACACCCGACGGCCTTTACCAATTCAAGGTCATGCCTTTTGGGTTGTGCAATGCCCCGGCTACTTTTGAACGTATGATGGACTCTCTTCTTCGCGGTTTCAAATGGTCGACCGGCCTCTGCTATCTGGATGATGTAATAGTTTTCTCGCCCTCCTTCGAAAGCCACCTGTCTTGTCTCTCGGCAATTCTTGACGTTTTTCGTTGCGCTGGTCTCCAACTGGATTCGTCGAAATGCTCATTTGGACGTCGGCAGATTAAACTACTCGGCCACCTTGTTGACGCCACTGGTGTTCAACCCGATCCTGACAAAGTCCGTGCAGTCCGAGAATTCCCGGTTCCGCGTTCCACACAAGAAGTTCGCAGTTTTATTGGGCTCTGCTCATACTTCCGCCGCTTTGTCTTCAATTTCGCGGATATTGCTAGGCCCCTCACGGATCTCCTCAAAAAGAATGTGACCTTTTATTGGGGAAGGGACCAAGAACATTCCTTCGCGTCGCTAATTACCGCCCTCACATCACCACCTGTGTTGGCTCATTTTGATCCAGCGGCTCGAACAGAGCTTCGCACCGATGCAAGCGGCCATGGCATTGGTGCTATACTCGCTCAGATACAGAATGGCACCAACCGTGTGATAGCCTACGCTAGCCGCCTTTTGTCGCAAGTGGAACAAAATTATTCCATCACTGAGCGGGAATGCTTAGCCCTCGTTTGGGCTATTGCGAAATTCCGTCCGTACTTATACGGACGTCCGTTCGCAGTCATCACGGACCATCATGCGCTTTGCTGGCTGTCGACGCTTAAGGACCCTACAGGAAGACTCGGCCGATGGGCACTTCGATTACAGGAGTACACGTTCTCGGTTGTTTACAAATCTGGAAAGCTGCACAGCGATGCTGACTGCTTATCCCGGCACCCTGTTGATCCACCTAGCTTCACTGATTTGGAATCCGATGCCTGCGTTTTAGCCATCACTGACTTTCTGAACGTGGCTGACGAACAGCGCCGAGATCCATCGCTGCTCACCATCATTGACCGCCTTCAATCGCGTTATGCTGACCCTTCTCTTAGCAGATACCTGCTTCAAGACAACGTTTTGTACTGCCGCAACTTACACCCCGACGGAGCGGAACTTTTACTTGTCGTACCGCATCACCTGCGAAAGGATGTTCTGCGACAATTCCACGACGCTCCAACTTCTGGACATCTAGGAGTCTCCAGAACTTACGACCGCATTCGATGACGAGTATTCTGGAAGGGTCTGTACCGCTCTGTTCGCCGTTACGTCACATCTTGTGACCTCTGCCAGCGCCGAAAGAAGCCTACGACTCCCCCTGCCGGTCTACTTCAACCTATTGAAGTTCCAGCCGAGCCATTTTATCGAGTGGGGTTGGACTTGCTAGGCCCCTTTCCTACTTCTACAACTGGAAATAAATGGATTGCAGTGGCCACGGACTATGCGACTCGGTATGCAATCACTCGAGCGCTACCAACCAGCTGCGCAACCGACGTTGCCGACTTCCTACTGTACGACATTATTCTCCAGCATGGTGCTCCGACTCACCTGCTCACAGACAGTGGTCGCTACTTTCTATCTCGTGTGGTTGGTGATCTGC